AAGACTGGACCACAGATTATAGTGTTATTAGTTTTTAGCTATTAGTGCAGAACCATGTCAAGTGTTACTGTCATCCATCTTTGTGGGGTTTTTGCTCAGATCATATAACAGATATTATTTTAAAAAGCAAATATTTCTTTTCATGATTCTATGCAAACATAGAGCTAACATTCCTTGCATCATAACAGAACTTCTCCTTTGGAAAGCTTTGGAGTTTTGTTCCTTGTCCTTTTTTTATTCCCTCAGTATAGCCTGTGATTAGTATGAGATAAGGGAGCCATTGACCAACAACTCAGTAAAGAGTTCAGCATTGATCAATACACTTTCAGATACTTCTCTGAGCTTGCAAGAGGATGCTTATCAATCTTTTTTGCTATGGTACTTACAATCAAACACTACAGATAGTCACAAGTTTACATCCATAATTCACCATGTTTCTCCATTTGTTGATATGGTCTCTTGTTCCAGATTTCTATAAATAATATAATAATGGCCAGTCTTCGCGAACGAAGATTTGGGGAAAGGTCTATTACCTTTCCAGCCTGCGCAATGGATTTTTTAGGTGAGACACAGCCTGCGCTGAACTGAGCCCACCCTTTAATCCTAAGGTTCATCTGCCAGGGCCAAGCAAGCTTGGACAATGGCAGTGAGGTCCTCAGGACGTAGGTTTGTTTAGAGTGACCTTCTCATAGATGGATGGCCTCACAGGGCTAACGGGCTCCATCTGCCCGGGGGGGACTGGGATTCGAACCTGGGTCACAGCGGTGAGAGTCCTGCATGCTAACCACTAGGCCACCAGGGGTCCCCAGTTCCAGATTTCTAAAATCTTCGTAACCTTCCTTTAATTAATTTACTAAAATAACACTTGTCCATCTTTCTTTCCATTCCTAAATTTCCAGTATTTTTCATGTCCTTAATGAGTTGGACATTGCAAATAAAATACACTGGCAAGACTGATTCAATCACATGCCAATCCTTGTGTCATACCTCCAATCTTACAAAAGATATATATAAATTTATCATATTTCTTTCTTTGTACAGTCTTAAGCTTACACTTGCAGCTTACGTTTCATTTATCTTAGTAACACAGGAATATAACAAAATGTTGAGAGTTATGAAAATGCTGACACAGAAAGCAACTGGAAGGAATTTTGCACATCTATTCTGTACATCTTCCAAAAGGTTGTGGTTTCTCTCTTTCACTGCTTTGGCACACACTTGGTGATTAAAAGGGTATTGCTTCCAGGAAGGGTGAGTAAATGGAAACTCCAGCTGCGAGGGACAAGAAAGAAGAACATATTTGATATTGCTTCAGACCATTGAGCAAAAATCACAAAGCAATCTGGTACAGAGAGACAGAAGACTTCTGTTTCTTTTTCTGAAAAATGTAACAGGCATTTACCCAATGTCCTTTATTTTTTCTTGAGATTCGGACAGCCAGCTTGAGATAACCACAAACAAGAACCAAATTGTTCATTACAACTTTGCATAAAACCTTATTTTAGCTTTGCACTTTGTGCTATACACTACTGATATACAAATAATGGAGCTAGTTTGGCTATGAGGAACTGCAATCCTATCGACCTTGGAGGAATGTTCTCTCTTTTATTCGAAATAAATGAAAACATGTATACAGATGTTAGCCACAGTATCTTCTTTCAAATCAAGAGGGACAAAATAGATAAATTGTTATCTGAACCACAATGCCCATTGCTGTAAGGTGATAAACACCACCTAAACAATGCTACATCAGCCTCTGTTAAGATGGTTAAGAATTGAGGCCACTGGAGACCACAAAAGACAGCATACTTCTGATGGTGATGCTACTAAAAAGACAATAAAAAGTTCAAATTTAAAACAACATGTAATGCAAAATACTGGTTCTGTAAAATATTTATTATGGCTGAATGTATTGAATAAGAATTATTGTTTATAAAGTATTTCCATAATGTCTCTAATGAGGTTCTCAGTAATTAATTTGAAACATCATAAGAGCCTTCTTCGGATATTCAAACTAGCTTCAAATGACATATGAAGTTTTGCATACGATTTTATCTGAAAACACGTAGTGACTAAGAAAAAAATTGGCAATGGGGACTGTGGAGTTATATATTCCATTTCTAGCCCAGTTTTGGTACTGCTCATGTGCCTACAAGCAAATTACTAACCTTTTTGACCCAAAGTCTTCATTGAACATTTAACTAGTGGTGATGTTGTGAGCATTAGTAACCTTGCACTGCCCCTGGAGAGTCTCAGCCTCTCAGTCTCAGCCTTGATAAATAAATGCAAAGCATTGCACAATTTCTTCCATTTAATTCTAAAATATGTGAATTATTTTGCAGACATATTAAGGTGTTTTATTTTTTTTCCTCCCTGCAACATCAAGTTGGTTAGTGGAAGTAGGTGTATACATCTGGGCATAAAAGGTCAAAATATATTGCTTTGCATCCATAATTTTTTAAATTATAAGCAAGCTGATCCCAGATATCATTATTGTGAGTAATTCTCTGATAGACTTATAAATTTACTGGAGGAAAACAGAGGTGTGTTAGTTACAATTTCAGCTATGTCCATGCTGATTGTGCTGCACTGCCACAGAGGAGAAATGGGACTATACTGCTAATGAGGGAGATAAGTCCTCAGCAATTACAGGAATACTCTTCTAAATATCTGAACTATCAATCACCAATGAAAGAAAACTGGCGCCTTGATGATATGGAAGAACTTCTAGAACTATGGAAGAACTATGGAACCCTTACAACTGTTGGAAACAAAATCATTAATAATAAACAGATCAATTTCTGCTCCTCCTCTCTGCTCAATCAGCAATAGCAGAGGAGAATTGGGAAATGGAGAAGCCAATAGCTGACTCTTGATTTCTTAAGATATAATTTAATGCCTTCTCTCAAGGTAAGTAAACAGTAGCGTGGTTCGAGTTGCTCAGCAGGAGAGACTATATCAAACAAAAAGCAACAAGCGCAGAACAAAAGTGAAGGGGAAAGTCAGGAAAAGAAACATCCACATGAAGAAAAGGGGGACTGGTTGCAAAGGTCGAAGAGGGATATTGCTTATCAAGTATTCCAAAATAGGACACTTCTCAAGCCATTAACTTTGGGGAATAAACAATGGCTTAGCATTCTATTTAAATGAAATTACAGCAAATTTGTGAAAGACTTCTTTTGGTGTTATGACAAATAGATAGCAAACCAGATTCTAGAAATTAATGCTTTGCATGCATGTGCATTAAGTACTTCCTAAATTTAAGAAATACAAATAATCTTGAAGACTAGGTTTTTTCCCCTTGTGATATTTCAATTAAACATCTGGTGGTCTTCAATGTGTATTTCCACATTTCAGTTGCATCTAAATAAGTCTCCTGGATACATCAATATTTCATTTTGCAATAAAATAAACCAGTATTAGTTTAACTTCAGTTTACTGGGGCTATATTCAAAGCCTTTATTTTGGTTTAGCATAAATGTTTGTCAGTTTTTTATTACACATCTGAGAACGCCCAGCAGATACACTGAGAGTCCTAATTCTCTAGTGCTGTTTACTAGTCTCCTCCACCTGTAGAAAAAAAATCCCCAAACAGCAGGCAGTTCCTATGCCTACTTCTCAGTCACTTTAGTGAGAGATACGTGGTTGGGAAAGAAGTGGAAAATCAGGTTCTGCACCTTCAATTTAAAAAGTGTTATTTAGCCTAAAGTCTTAGATTACTCGTAATTGTTGTGGTATTAGAATCCCTATCAGCTGACTTTTCTTTTGCTTTTTTCCTGTCAACATACTTCATTACACATTATTCCCGAGTGTCTTCAAATCAATCTTCAAGTTTAATCATCATGAGCCAGAAATGAGGCTGATTGCAGATGTTGATTCCAAGATCCTTGGTCCCAAGAACATGACTTTCTTGCTGCTGAAGAGTAATTGAAAGCATCTGGGAACGACTAGAGAAACTGGAGCAGACGGCTTGCCGTCCCGGAACCCATGCTGCCAGAAGGGGGAACCTACTGCACATCCTTGAGAGAAAGTTAGAAGCACAAATTGCACGAGGCTATAGGAGCTAAAACTCAGAGCGTTGGTCGAGGCCTGCACTTCGTTTTCTTTTACTTTGATACCACTTCAGACGAGTTACAGACTTCCAGCTGAGAACAGAAACACATTCACACAGCTATCCTGCACAAATAATTAAAAAAACAATCAATATTAAAGACAAGGGTTAGATTAATGAAGGGAGGATAAAACCTTTCCAAGATGTTGCAAATTACATATGCTACATGCTGCTGAGTGAGCAGAAGGCTTCTTCTGCTTTATGCTTTCCAGCTTGGTCGTCCTGTCAATGTTGCAGACATACCTGTACTTGATTGAAGCTCCTTAGCTTTACGGTTTAGCGATTACCGATCAAACATTTCAGAAACTTGTTACAAAACTGTTGCATTTTAATGCAATACCACTGATAGTACGAATCTTTAGGCACACGTGGCTTTAAAGAGGCTTCCCGTCCCTTCCCTCGCCCCCCTCCCCCCATTTTACATTATGGAGAACCAATGACACTAAAACACACGGACACAGCCTTGATGGTTTTGCGTGACATCACCGAACTACCGCAGCACCGGGGAACTGCGGAGAGCCGTGCCTGGGTCCTGTGATCTTACGATTCCCGTTTACACTGCTAATGCACAGCACAGCTCTGGAAAGCCAGGCTGGCCCTCCGTGAGCAAACACTCCCCAACCTGGGGCCGAAGCGAGCATTAACATTGTTGCTGTCAACACGCAGAAGTGCCCCTGTTACAAACCTTACAGACCCAGCTGATCACCAGCTGTCGGGGCTGCTGTGGACAGCGCGGGAAGGGGCCAGTGCCCTCCCCAGTGGGCTCGCCCTGGCAGCCACAGTCCCAGAACCGCCGGGAACCCGCCGGGACGTCCTCGTGCTGCCGCCGGGAGCATCCCATCCGCCGCCTACATTGCCCGGCAGCCCCGCAGCCCACGGGAAGTGTCGTCCTGCCGCATCCGGGGGCAGGATCCGGCGGAGCGTGTGCCGTGCCCGGTGTGGCGCTTGCGGTGGGTCGCGCCCGGGCCGGGAGCGGGGGTCGGGAGGCGGCGGTCGCCTCTGTCCCGCAAACTGAGGCGCTTCTCTCCCCGCAGGTGCGGCCATGGCGGACTCCACGCAGAACGGGCCCATGCCAGGCGGGGCCGGCGGCGGGGCCGTGGTAAGGAGCTCCCGGGCCTCAGGGTCCTGGGCCGGCCGCGGTGCTTCTCCAGCGGCGGAGGGGTTGGGTCCTGCTGGAATCGCAGCATGGCATTGCCCGCTCGGGTGCGGGCAGGGGGAAGCAACTCTCGCTTCCCGATTGAAAGCGTGCTGTTGGTGCGCCGCCGCTCCTGAAAATGTCTCAATCGAAAGTAATTCGGTGTGGCAGCGTCTGTATTTCACAGAATCATAGAATATGCTGAATTGGGAGGGACCCGTCAGGATCATCGAGTCCAGCTCCTGGCCCTACACAGGACATCCCAATAGTCACACCATGTGCCTGAGAGCATTGTCCAAATGCTTCTACTACTCTGTCAGGCTTCGTGCTGTGACCAGTTCCCTGGGGAGCCTGTTCCAGTGCCCAACCACTCTCCGGGTGAAAAAGCTTTCTGTGATGTCTAACCTAAACCTCCCCTGTCATAACTTCATGCCGTTTCTGTAGTTATATTGTGCAGGTAAGACACTAGATCATGATATGAAGATGCTTGCAGGTTAGTTAGTTTCTGGTAATTTCCATAGAGACGCACTAGGAATATAGAGAAAAAGAGGAATCTCTGGAAGGTGGTTCAAATTTGGAAAAAAACTTGAACTCTCAGGTGCAAAGAAGCAGATGTTTTGACTCTGAGGCACATAATAGCCAAAAGCATGCTGTGTTTTGTTAGAGCCTTTCTGGTACCATGGCTATATCAAGACTGAGAGGGGCTGTGGTTAAGAAGAGCTCAACAACAGGAGAAGTGCAAGATTCCTGTAAAAAGCTTTTGCTTTTTCGAAGCCAAGAATACGTAGGCCAAAACGATGCCAGTTTCCTTGTAATTATAAGCATGTAGTTATGCTAACTTTACCTGACCCTTTATTTTTTTCCCCTCGCTGAGAATTATGGAGATTCAGCCCAAGGTGTGTCCAGCGTATTCTAAAAGGAACCTTGAAGGAGTAGATGCAAAAATCAGGTCTGGAGACCTTATGTGGTGACAGTTGTGGAGCTGGCTGTTTAATGAGGTCAATTTGGATAGAAAAACTACTTTCCCAGAAATTCTTACCACTGTATTTGGTTGTAGTGTACAAAGGAGCTTCTTGGTTCTGAGGAAGCAGAGCTGTTTTTGATCTGGCAAGTAGCATCATATGAGTCAAGTATCACAGAACAAAAGCAGCTTTCTACTTCAAGCTATAATTTGCTTATATTCAAGGTTGGAAGAAGATTTGCAATTTAATATAGCAGGGAAGAATGCTCATTTTATGCAAATATCAACATACCAACTTATGTTGGGGTTGGTTTCTTTTTGTTTTCAAATGTAGCAATTTCTGATGGCTAACAAGTTGGATACAGCAATGTGGATTTCCCGCTTGTTCACAGTTTACTGCTCAGCTTTATTTGTCCTGCCTCTTCTAGGGTATGTACTGTAATATTTTAAAATAGCACTAAAAATTTATGAACTAGAGTCCCTTTGCATAGAATTTTTTTTCACATAAGGGTAAATTGCTGTTATTCAGGTTACTTGGATGCTTTTTGTCAGAACAGCTTACAAATTTTAGATTGGTTTAAAACACTTTTAGATGTGTTTGGAAAATGTGTTGAGCAACTGTAAAGTAGTAGTAAATGCGTGATTTTGTGTGTAGTTATGCAGTAACATATTGAGTTGTTTTACTTAAGGCACCTGCAGTAAGTCAGTGTTACGAGTTTTTGAGTTGTATTTTGTAAATAGTGCTTCTGTACGATAATAGAAATACTCAGGTATTGTGCAGCTGTGATGCAATTCTCAAGGGTGGAAGAGTTCTGAGCTTGGTTCATATGGTAACGTCTCCTCTGATGATTTGCAGGTTGCATGAAGCAGCAAGCTTTTATCAGCGTGCCTTGCTGGCAAATGCTCTTACTAGTGCCCTCCGACTGCATCAAAGGCTACCGCACTTTCAGCTTAGCAGGGCATTTCTGGCCCAGGCTTTGCTGGAGGACAGCTGCCACTACCTGTTGTACTCCCTTATCTTTGTGAATTCCTACCCTGTTACAAGTATCCTTTACTTGTGTCATCCTGGTAAAGTTTTTAAATATATCTAAAACTTGGTTCTTTTCATCACCTGTGCCATGTTTTGAAAAACTAGTTTGAACTAATTTGTTTGCTATTCATAGAACATGCTCTATGTAAAATACGAAAGGCTTATGCTGATCGATCCATATTCAGTTTAATCAGCTCTATAATTAGTGCACTACAGACTCTGGCTACTTAGATTTTCTTTTCCTGAGACTTAAGTTCAGTGGATTTTATGACCAGCCTCAAGTGATACTTGGAAAAGTTGGTAATTTTCATTTATTGCCAATACAGGGTTTATATATGAATTCTCACTGTAGCAGGACATACATCATGTAGAGAGACAATTATTCAGTGGTAGCTTTCTCAAATAAGTTATTAAACTGATAAAGTCTGCAAAAAATACTTTCCCTGTGGCTTGTCAAAGATGACATATCAGAACTGACTTTTCTTTATGCCACGCTATGTATGCTTCACATCTGACTCTTAAAAAATCTCCCTGGCAGAGGAATGTCTGTGTTCTTGCTCTGTGAAATGTGAATGGCTGGCAACTGCATGTTCTTTGGTAAAGAAATTAATTTTGTAGCATCTTTTAATAAAAAAATTATGATTACATGTACTTAATAGATTTTAAGTAGTAACCTCACGTGTGTCTTCTGTGCAGAAAGAATGCATTTCAGGAGAAATGCACTCGTGTGTAATGGTGTATGTTATACTTTTGCATACTTGCAGACACCTATATTTTGAAGTTAATAAAAATGTATAGCAAAGAGGTGTAAGAAGCAAAGGGAAGAGCTATAAATATAGATATTAGACTTATACATATCTTCATCCAGTATAGGTCATTCCAGCCTATAGGTCATTCTTGCGAAGAGCCACCAAGCTATGACTTGTGTAGTATAACATCATGGAGAAATGAAACGTGTAATTTTCCTTATTGCTTATTTCAGTGAGTATTTTTCCAGTTCTGCTGTTCTCATTGCTTCATGCTGCCACATACACAAAGAAGGTTCTTGATGTAAGTATGACATGATGTATGTTACGATTAATACTGTTGGTATTCTTGGGGTTTATAAACAGGTTTAAGTTGCAACTATGGTTTGGTTTCCTTTGGCTGTGGTAGAGGGATTAGAGTGATTTTGTAGCGTGGAATGTCAGCACAGAGAATCTGAGAACTTTTTTGAGTTGGCTGGGTTTTGTGATTTGTTTTTGGTTTTTTTCCCCTTCTGTAATGACTCAGTAATATGTTGGAGTTGACACTGATTATTTTTCTTCAAATGCTTTCCTTTGAAGGAAACAAAAGCTGTGTAACAGTTAAGTTGAAACATAAGACATGTCTCTTTCAAACTAAACCATAGCCTGTGAATTTTATTGTTCTGTTTCAGTAGTAAGGTAACAAACTACAGGGTGAGACTAGCAAGCAAAATACTTGCCAGTTGGACTTGCTGCTCAGTGCACTGCCTTGTGCGACTTAATGTAACTCCAGTCTTTGGTGCTCCTAAACTGGGCTATCTTGCTACCATGGGCACTTCCACCTAGTGGACAGAATAAGGCTTCTGGCTGTCTCTGTGCAGTCGAACCTAAAATGGGTGCATGAGGGGATTGCAACACCTGATGTTTTTAATTGAACTCTTTGTAAATTATGGAGTTCCAAGCCTACGGTTTTCTTTGGGATGTTAATCTCAATTCTGGTAAAGTCTTAAAATGCTGAAATTAGTTGTAAATGACAGTCGTTTGTATTTTGATTTCTCTGTGCTAGTGAAGATAGGTGTAACTCATATTTTTTCTGTAAATCATTTTTTCTTCTTTAAAGGCACGAAGTTCAAATAGTTTGCCTTTTCTGAGAAATCTCTTAGAGAAACTGAATGCTAATCAACAGAATATTCTAAAATTCATTGCTTGCAATGAAATTTTCCTCATGCCAGCTACAGTTTTTATGCTCTTCAGGTAAGAATTACGATAAATATTTAAATAATTAGAAACTTGCTACACAAGATTACTTTTTTGCAAGTGAGTTCTCTGGATCATAGTGCTCCACTTGTATTGTTCTGGCTGACCAGGGCTTGAACTTCAACTAAAATTTGATTCTTAGGCTTCTTAAGTTGCTGCATCATGACATCAAAAAGCATTCACTATGACATAAGTGGGCACAAAAAACCCCTCCTCTTTCATAGCGTGGGTGACATTGTTGAGTCACATTGAAATTTTTTGAGCTCGCAACTTGTGCTCACCTGCATTTCTATCAGTACATTGTTCAGTTAGTTTAATTTTGGTTGGTTTAATAGAATATTAAGATCTTCAGCTTCACTGAAAGTAAGCTCTTGTTTTTGACAATTAGATTCCAGAAATTTAAGTAGCATGAAGTTTCCATATGCAAAAAGTGTGCAAGCAGTAGTAGGTTGTGTTCTCTCCTGTGTTACTTCTGAGCAGCGACCCTTGTGGGTTTTTTTTATTCCATTTAGTTATGCCTGCTTTGCATCCTGTTGAATTAATTTTAGGGATCTTGAGTGTATGCATGTTGGAATCCTACTGAAGTTGTATAGGTATAATGACCTGAAGTTTGGGTCATTGCCTTTTAATGTTTGGAGGGGGAATATACCCTTTGTTCTGTATAAGTTGTAGCATAGTAAGAGCATTTGTCTTGAGTGGTCTCACGGTCAGCAGAAGGGAGGCTTTATCTTCTTGGAAGTTGACAGAATGCATAATTTGTCTTTATCTCTTGATATGTCAGCTGAGTGCTTCAGTACTTCAGGTCTCAAGGATTCCATTTCATATAAGGCCGCTTACCAACTGTATCCACTCTGTATCCAGTATTGAAACTTCTGAGTGGTTTGAACATCTCTTTGGGATAACTTCGTTTTTTTTTTTTTCTTTTTTTCTCTCTGTGGAAAATGTAGTATGTGAAATGTTGCTACTTGATATGTCATCTAGTAGATACTGAAGCTTAAAAAAGATCATGTCAAATTTAAAATCATATAATGTTTAAATGCAGCTATTGTGAGATTTTGTTCTTTAAATTGTTTTAGGATATTAAATTGCTTGTAAATAATGTACAGGTTCAAGATTTCCTCGTTCTTTCCTCCTGTAGCTCTCTTTCTCTTTCACTTTACATTTTTTTCTCCTGGGTAAAGATATTGTTCGTACTTGAAGGAGTTCTTGCTGGAACTGTGATGTTCAGCTTCAAATAGAACTTTTAAATACTATGTTTTTCAAAGTAGCTTCTGTCACTAAAACTTAGGGCATTTCTGTGCTTTGCTGTGTATGGTTTGTGTGCTACACTTTCACTATTTTATAGCACCGTCATGTGAAACAGCAACTTTGTAGAATATCAAAACCTAATTTCAGTGTAACTGAAATAACTGGATATCAGCTTTGCATGTCTGAATACATCTATAATTGTCTCCAACATGTTCTGACAAGTTTTGCAGAAGATACTAGAAATATGGTCCAGATAGTCAAAGTGCTGCGAGTCCAGTTACTCGCTGTAACTGCACTACTTATCTCAGCCAGTTTGCCTGCTTGACCAACAAGCTTTTTCTTGATACTGAGCATTTGTCACCATCATTTCTGTGATTCTTTGCACGCCACCAGAAATGACGCATATAAAAAAACTTCATAAATATAAAATCAATACAAAACCAGCACTTCTTTAAGTGCTTGATTGAGCAGTTTTATTCTATAATGTAAGTTTCTGCCTTTAAAAGTGTATGGTTATGTACTTTTTCTTGTCAGATCTAGATTTTCTGAACCAGTGTGACCCAAATCTAGCCCTTTTTTGAACCCAAGTAGTTTGCTTGCTTTCCTGAGGAAAAATACTGATTTTGGTGTTTGTTTTTTTTTTTTTGTCACTGCTAAGCTCTACTGAACTATTCTCTTTCAGTGGACAAGGGAGCCTGCTCCAGCCATTCATCTACTATAGGTTTCTTACGTTACGCTACTCTTCTCGGCGAAATCCGTACTGTCGGTAAGTACTAAATTGATTTTGGAAGTTAGTGTTTAACTGCGTAGTGCTCAGGCATTTGGAATCTTTTCGTTCTAAAATGAATGCATAACTCATAGTACTAAATCTGCAGATGGTAATTTTAGAATGAAAAATACACCTGGATGCTAAATAAAACCCTAGCCAGTTCAAGGTTATATTTATTTCGTGTAACTGATCAGAAATGTACCATTGTTCTTGAATGGGAGCTTTGAGAACATGCTTGTGCAATTAAAACTACACTTTGGGAGAAGAAAGTCTTTCTTATCAGAAAGATATCCTTATTTTTAGATTTTCAGATATATCTGAGGCTAAGTCTGTATATGAATAGGCGCTTAAGAACTTGTGTTACATTGACAGAAAAAAAATCTGTAGATAATCTTAAACATGCTCATTACCTCCTTTAGTTAAATTCACAAATCAGGTTAATTATATTTGAAATAGAATTTATTGATTTTGAAAGTTGGTCGAGCCAATATTGTTTTAGACTTTGAAACCATAAATATTTCTATGAGGATTTTCTCAGGTCAGTGCTTTCTTAGTTTTCTAAGACAAGCATTGCAAAACGTAAGATTTTTGTTAGCATACCTTCCAGTCTAATCATTACTCGATTAGACAATGTTTTGCTAAAGTGCCAAGGAAGTGGCTTTGGCTGCTGTGATATGTGAAGACAAGTCTGAGAATCATAACCTTAATTGCCTCCTGTTCCCTACCATTTTGTAAGAAATTAATTGTTCCATCCTGGTACATATATTTATTTTTTTTTAACAACAACAACAACAACAACATCTATGAAATTGCTTTAGTATCTAAAAATAATCTAAGCTGTGCAATACTAAAACTGACTTTCAATAGAACTAGTTTATCCAAAATGTTCTGCTGGCATTTTTGTAGTTTTAAGGGAAAATGGTGATCTGGGTTTTATTTCTTATGTCTGTCTTCTAATAGTTGCTTCTAGAGTGCACTGTTATTGCATATTGGCAAGAAATAGCACACATACACAGTTGCCTCCCAACTCCTTACACTATTTGTGATAAAGCATTATTCTTTCCTCCTCTTTTTTTTTAATGGCGTCTTTTTGTTTTGGCTTTAAGGTGGAATTTTTCTCCTGTCTTTAGTTCAGCAGCTTCCAGCCAAGGATGGATATAAAGTTAATTAAAATGTTAATGTTTAAAAGCCAAGAATTCTGAAGCTCTTGCAAGATACTGCAATACTGAGTTGATCCAAAGAAGTTGTTAGCTAGAGTGTGTGTGTGATGTTAAGGAAAGAAGTGAATGAAAAACACAGATCTAGATAACACTTCTGATAAATGCTGTAGCATTTTAAAACTCTCTTTAAATCTCATTTTTTCAGGACTCTCTTCACCGAGCTCAGGATTGTTGTTGAACACTTAATAATGAAGCCCTCGTGCCCTGTTTTTGTAAGAAGACTATGCCTCAGCAGCATTTCCTTTATAAGCAGATTGGCACCAACTGTTGCATAGCCAAATTTCAGGCACTTGTGTTTTGTGAACATTATGAGCAGCTGGCACTTCTGCTGATGATTAGAAATTTCTGATTTTACACTGATCTCACTCCAGGCTGTATAAAAATATGTATATGCTTTTCTTGGAGATAATATGAAATTTAGCATATCAAAAACAAATAATGGAAACTTAAAATTACTGTACTATATTGTTAATTGGTGAAAAAAATTAGCTGCATCCTTTCTAAAACATACCCAATCATACAGGGTTTTGTTTTGTTTGTTTTTTTTTTTGAATCAAGGATTGTTTGAGATTGATTAAAACTGTAAGAGGTCTATGCTCCCTTGGTTTATGTTAGTTGGAACCATAGCTACTGTAGGATATCTCCAGTGGATAGCAGTTGGTACACATACCTATGCAGTACACTTTGGACAGTATTCTTCTGCTTACTAAATGTATCTGTAGAACTATTTTGTCCAATTTACTATACTCAATGTAGAGATATGACCCACTTTGGAGTTAACACAAGGGATTAAAATCTATCAAGTTGACACAGATAACACCTTTTCTGAAGGAGAGGTTATTTTTATTATACTACTTAAAAAGAACTCTTCCAAGTTCCTACCTTGTGACGTAGTCTTACATTACACTGTTGGAAGAAATATTGAGACTCTGATCATAGAAAACTCTGCAGTTTTCTTGTCATAACAAGATGTTTTACCAAGCCAAACTGCTGACCTGTAGGCTTTTCAGCCAAAGACGTAACTTTTAACCATGTCTCAAATGAACTAATCAATGTAAATGAAGTAACTTTTGCAGACTCATTGCAGATTTGTTTATATGTCCACAAAAATTTGAGACTGCAGTAATTCAAGCATGTTAGCTTTTTAGAAAATTAATCTATAGCTAGATCTATATAAATTGTTATTCCAGTTTCTGAGAGTCTCATTGTGATGGGAAATTTGCATAAAGGATTGAACCTGTGTAGGCAGCTTCTGAAACAAATGGGTGTAGGATTTCTTGGCATAAATCCATCTGATGACTGACCTGAAGCCATGTCATGACTACAGAAATGAATATTAATTCGAGTGAATATTAAATTGAGTGCTGATTATCTATTCACCCAGCAGCTGAAAGGTAGGTCGTGTAAAAATAATGTTATCTGTCTGAACAAAACTTCTTTCCATAAATTCAAGGCAAAATATTTGCCTAATCTTCTGTAGTTAATGTTAGTATTCTAATTGCATAAAATTAAAGGGCCTTTTGTAAACTTCTATAGCACTATTCTTCCATGGTCAGAGAAATCTTATGTGAAACTTTTTCAAAAACAGTCTTGAAGTAGAGTATTTTCTTGTAACTATTGAGTTACCTTGTTTGTGATGTGGATATCATTCAGACTTTTCAGTTGTATTTGTTAGATCAGAGCCATGTATTTATAAACTTATTTCATTTTTTTGCTCAACCTCTTGGTATTGATGAACCAGTTGCTAATTGAATATGATATTCTTTGACTACTTGTCTCGCTCTCTGAACATGATTAGCTGTTTATAGAACACTTGCACACTGCAGAAGCAACTGCATGCAGTAATGCTCTACAGCTGCTAAAGATTTGCAGTGAGTTTCACTATATGTATATCCTGTAATCCTGAGGATTTTATAAAGACTAAAATTTCTACTGCAATAAAATGAGTGTTAAATGTAACTTGCTAGGCTCTTTAAGCTTATTTTCTCTCTAACAGAACATACTGATGCTTGAACCTGGAAGTTGAGCAGAATGCTTTCCTGTGTGTATGTGTGCATGTTCCTGTATTCCCACTGCTGCTTTTGAATTGGGATATAATGTCCTGTGCATTTCTAAATTATCTTATAGGGAATTTTTGCCTTCTAGAATGCAAAAATGTATGACCCTTTCCTTCAAAATCTAACCCTAAAATAAGCACTGCAACAACGGTATCTAATCAGAGCAAAAAATCTAGACCTACTTATTACTGTTTCAGTTCCTCAGCACAATCCTAGACCCTGTTTCATGGTACATGATGTGTTTTTTGAGTAGAGACCTCAGACTCTCTTCAGCTCTTTCGACCAATGTGATTTAAAGATTTTAATTCGGTCATCTAAGTTGGTCCCCCATGCTGGGAGTGGAAGGCAAATAAATCTGTAGTTAATGTAAGCAGAATAACATGTTCCTTCTGAGCAAATTTTTGTGGTCGGACTGCAGTTACAGGTGCAGTCTACTGTTCCTTAATTGTATGATGTTATTAAATTAGAGATGAGTCTAAACTGGATCTGATATATTGCAGCTGTAACTGAAGGATGCTAAGTCTTGAGATCAACTCTAGGAATGGATGAGAAAGATTAAAAGGAGTAAGTGAATGACAATGAGTGAGTTGAGAGTTGGAAGACAGTGCCATGAAGTAGAACTTAAATGTGAATACTGAATTTCTTGTTAACTCTTTCCATTAAGTCTTAAAAATGGACTCCTTAAAGAGGAGGAAGATGTTTCATAAATGGGATTTGATTTGATATGATTTGGCTAGTATATTTGTGGTTTTGCAAGGATTTGCTTGACAAATAAGTGACTTATGGCCTGGGAAAACTTAACTTCTCTGATGTGCCATGAAAACATGGAACAATGTTATAAGAATAATGTTCAAACCAAATAAATAGGGCAACTGGCCTGTACTCTGCATCAGCTTTGATTTTTACTGCAGCCTTTTGGCTGCCTAAGCAATAACCCTGCATTTCCTCAATACTGGCAAAAACATTCTGTCCTCGTGCCTGCTTACTTGCCATGGTTTGTGATTGCTTCTACACTAACGATTAAATTAGATGTGAATTGCTGGTTGTATCCTGATAGCTTGAGGTTTTCTGGTGAAGAGAGTTGTGCTGTCAGCAGCTATCTGTGATACAGAGGCTGTGATAGAAGTCTGTGATCGCAGAGAAATTTTGCAACTGACCATAAAATGCCTGTCAACCCCAAATGTGAAGCAGAAGAGTTTTTATTTTATGGAAAGGTTACTTACCTAGTGTTAGGTAACTGTTTCCGCTGGTATAAATCACACTGGTCATTGCTTTTTGTCATCTCAGCTTTCGTAAGATAAGTGCTGTTGCATAGATTCTGTGAGTAGACCCACCTCTTGCTCTGCACAAACAAGTACAAGTGATGCTCCAGCATAACATTTTCTGTTGTCACCTGTAGATAAATAAAGTATCAAGAGCCATTGGAGACTTTTGGAATAGCTAATACCAGCTGGGATTTTTTACACACCAAGTAACTCACCAATACATCCATTGTTTCCTTTATCGCCTTTTATTTAATTGTATACTTTATTGTAATTTCTGTGCTGTCAGTTTTATATTTGGCTTCCTTCTTTGATGGATGCTTAAGGTGAGCAATATCTGTTAATATTTTAAGTTGCATGTTTTAAGGATTTAAAAAAAAGTCCATTACAATCGTGAGCCACTATTTCTTCCAACAGTTTTTGAGCTGCCAACTATATGTGCTATAGTACTGTCGAAACAAATAATGTGTCTGGTTATTTTGTACAGTCTGTGTTGGACTGTTTCTTTGTTGGGCACCTGTAGTGCAACATTTGCTGTACAGATCCCATGTTTATTAAGGAAGTACAGTTCTTGTCCATTTTACAGAAAGGAATGGAGACGTGGAAGAAAAGAGCACTTTCCTGAGGGGATGTAAGAACTCTGGCAGAGCAGGAAATAGGACAAAGAGAGTTGGACAAGTGCCCAGAGGAAACTGATTTGTTTCTATACCACACATGACTTGTTGGTCCTGCTCCCAATATTATACCAACTGCTGGCTTAAATACTTAAAAAAGTACTGTACCTTACAGTGCTCAGATTAAGGGCAGAAAAGACATTGAGCTAGACAGCGTGCCCTGTTAAAGCAGTATCAAAAATTGATTTCCACATGAAGAGCTAGGTACGGTCCCTTGTATCATCATCTCTGCACTGATGAAAAATAATACAACAGAACAAGATGGCAAACACTTAATGTGCTAGATGGTAGTAGGGTATGCTAATCTAATAATTGTCTATAATTTTTAATTGCTGCAGTGCATCTATTATGGTTAAACTATATATACTGAAATTGGCTAGTGTATCATTGTATTGTAACTTCTATTGTGCTGTAATTTTCTTAAAGTCACAGGAGCAGTCAGGCCTCGCTATTTTAAATCACCTTTTAAGGACAGAACCTTAAGCAATCCTTTATTTCAAAGATGCATTATCAGTATGGATAATGTAATAGAATTTAATCTTAAATGTGGATTCAAAAAATCTTTCTCATAAAATGTCAGCATTACTTACTAACTTCTCTGCAGAAGCTAGCTCTGTGATAATAGCAGATGTTGTGCAGGTAAGGGAGTTTCATTGCTTAGTTCTGTGCCATCCAGATGGTATAAACTTTTAAAATTAATTGAAAAATTCATCTTTTACTTGTATTCAAGGACTGAGGTACAAAATGCTAATGTAAGGGCTCAGAGGGGAAATATAGTTCTCCTGCATATTTGAGAAAATGTGAAGCCCTTTCAAGAAAATCTAATAAACATAATAATCACAGGCTGCTGACACTAAGGAAAAAGCACCTCATTCGCTCTTTCTTTTATGCAGTGATTTACTGGTCCCTACTGATTTTCAAATTGGATCACTGCAGTAAATTATCCATATCAGTACCTGTGAAAGAAAGCACTGGGATCCATATTTGTTCGGTGCTGTGCTTAAATCAGCAAGAATGATAAATTTGATGGTATGAAATTGGAAATATCAAGGGCTTTTCTCAGTGAATGAGCAAGTATCTCCATTTGTAATTTATTGTGACCCTTTTTCACTGTATGTGCTTTGTATGTCAAATATTTATTTTGAAACAAATTAAATTGTTTTCTGTATTGATACGGCTATGGTTTTGTTCTTGAAATCAGATTGTATATTTTTTTCTGGATTTTAAGTATTATCAGTGTTGTGTTGCAAAACAGCACTTGTTTGAGTTCAAATCTGTGAGTGACTTTTTACTGACCAACAGCTTTTTCTGTTAAATGTTGTAGGTGCATGTTGGGTGTTGGGTTTGATTTTGTGTGTGTTTGTGTATGTTTAGAAGAGCGTAGGATGCAGTGAGCTATTGCGGCATCTCATTTGCTTTTTCTAGGGGAACAGGAAGATTAATGTGTATGTCAAAACCAAAAAAAAAGCTGATCCCTATCTTTAAGTCATTGGAACTATTCTGCTTTACACCTGGCATAGTTAAGCCCAAGTTCTGTGGGAAAAAATCTACCTATGTGCCCAGTTCACTGCCATATTTTCAGTGTAGGTGTTAATAGAGAAAGTTGTACACCTGTGTTTTGGCAGGAGTCCTGTCCTTTGAATTTTAAAATAGGTTATTTTGTGTCTGATTACATCCCACTACCTAAGTAAGTGCCACTGCTGAACTGAAAATGAGTTGTGGCTAGTGCTTTTTTACTTGGAATTTATATCAGTATAATAATAATTTGTTTTGCAACTTGTAAGCAAAATTGTGAACCTGTGTGGTTAATAATGTGACCCTATGTTACCCTCTTCTTATGGGCTAGGCTTAGCTCATTTGCGACGGTGCATTTATTAGTGGAATTCTGTTCAACCCTGGTGCCAACCAGCTGGGCTTTATTCTACCACAGCTGGCTACCTCCATACAGCTGTGGTTTTGTAAAAACAGTAGTGTGAATTGTATTTTAAGGAACCATGAAAGACTTTGCTCTTCATTTAAGATAATCTGAGTTCATGTCTATAACATTTTCCATGTGTCTGACCGTGATATCTTGCTTTGAGGTGAGTGAAGTTCTACAACAGTCCAGACTCTTGCCTTGGGTGAGGAAACTGGTTTCCTTGAACAAGTGCTGATCATGACATTTTCATTTGCCGTATGTGTTCCTATGAATATTCACTCATGATCCTTTGCTATTGTGAAGAGGAAGAGTATGTTAGATGAAGACAGTGCATCAGTTATTTGAGATATTGCACAGGAAAATTAAGCTGAAAATCAGAAATTAAAAAAGGTGCAGGGCTAGATTATCTGCAAGGGCTAAAGCAAAGTCAGCTATAGTTTTCACACAGGTAGAAATGCAATAGAAAGAGAAGGAAGAAGAATGGGGATAAAAATAATGAGAACGCAGAAAAGTTCATCTCTGCAATAAAAAGAGGTCTGGAAATCCTACTGGGTGTTCTGTTGCTTTCACAAACCCCAGTTCACCATTCATGGTTTCATGCAATCAGAATCCTCTGGATAGTACTTAAGTTTTCAAGCTGTAAATTATTTTGAATTTATTCTCTATTAAAATACTGTTGGAATAGCATGTTCAGATGCTGCTACATTGTACACAAACTGACAGGCTAATCTTGGTTTACTTAAAACGGAAAATAGCTGCAGTGGAATTATGTGTTCTTCTCTATTATGTTTGAAGCTCCTATAGTGGAAAAGTAAAGAAATAAATGCTCTGGTCTATATTATTGCTGGGCTTCTTGGCTTTTTTTTTCTTTTCTCTTTCCGTGTTGCTTTGCTATGTTTTTTTCTTGGCAATCGGGTGGGAGATTTCGTATGTGCAACTGCATGGGGTTTTGTCCTAATGTGTGTTTGGATAGAACATGATATTTGTAATGTAGCATTTTAACATTTTTTGATTTACTTTTTTTTCAGTCTAGAAAATCTGAACAGTTTTGAGATGACAGATGTTTCCTATTACAATCCCTTTCAACATACTTTCTGCTGTAGCAACTTCAGTTAGGTTCTGACTAAATTGTGAATCCTTTCAGTGATAAAGTTTAAATCAAAGCCATTAATGACAGCTTTTTTGTAATAGCAGATGGAAATCTAGGATTGACTTTCTGAATTTTCATGTCCACTAGAATTTTCAGTTGTGTAACTCTATAATACAGAGACATATTGAAACCTTAGAAAAGTACAGTTATAGCATCAAGCATTAGTTCAGTGTGCATGTGTTTGAGCATCCAGTGGTTCTATTTCTAATTATCTCAATTTTTTAACATCACTGTGGGGCAGAGGTAAGATGTTTAGTTGCATCAATGTGTATGTATGCTTACAGCAGTGGATAAATGAGTAAATAAAACATAATATTTTGAGGGTTTTTTTCCTATTTGGATATACACTTTGCATTTTATGATGAAAAAGCCTCTTCCTGCCCTCTGTCAGCCTTTTCTCTTTGCAGTGTTACACATTTATAATGGAAATAGTTTTGAAAGAAGATTCTTGTGCTGCACAGGTCCTTCTGATATCCTGCCTTTATGCACTTTAAAAGTACTGATTGAGCTTATTTAACATTCTTGTAATTCTTATTTTTTCTTATAAGCAAAAGAATCAAGCTGCTTTTAAGCTGGTCCTTTCTTTGGTCATGTAAGGGATTATAGGACAGGTGGAGTAGCAGGAGACTGGACCTGATGATGCAAGAAGCTTCTTCCAGTCCTGCATTCTTATGCATGTCTGCATATTACTGTAGAGAATAAGAGTAGTTTTTTTGGTATATTATGTACCTAGTATTGTTTTTAAGAATTTTAAACTAGCTTTCTGCTTTAGGATGAAGGTAAGCACTGCTAACCTTAAGAATACTTTTTCCCTGCTCAAAGGGTGGAAATTTTATTTTATATGATTTGGCCATTTGAAATGAAATTGAATTCTTCCTTCTTGTGCTAATTTTATTCCAAACCACTGACCTCTAGTGGCTGGTTTGCAACTACGAAGCTAAACGTTTTAGTAATGTAATGTGCTCCTCATGAGTCTATGGCTACAGGAGAGTCATTTTCCATTTCATTTTTCCAGCAGAATAATGCTTCTTCATGATTTATTTTCCTTTGGCACTCAGTAGCTGCTGCTGCTGCTGCTGGGTTGAGTACTGCTGCACCCACTTCAAGAAACTGCATGTGACTGCTGGTTTTCAGGTAAATGAACTGCATGTGAATAACTGCAAACACTTATCCATGTGCTGGAAATAAAAATATTTTGTTTTAGTTTATGTAGATCTTTGACCCAGTGACCATGAAATTACTTTACAGACCTACATGACTCAGAGTGGTGTTATGCAAACTTCTGTAGATTCACCATTCTATGCTTTGGAAGAGTCGTTCCCCTCATGCACCTGCCTGCCACAAAATATTCTCTCATTTTTCTGTGAATTTAAATATTTTACCTGAAAAACTTAAGGGCTGTTTGGGATCACTGGACACTTTATGAATTCATATTTTTTTTGAACTATCAGTATGTAGCTGCTTGGTGTTAACTATATATATGTAGTATCATAAAAAGTACAAAAATAAAGTCTTTCCCTTTTCCCTTCTCCATTTTTTGTCCCTTGCTATGCTGTATGAGAGATACAAGGCAGGATACAATGGGAATCCTGAAGAGTAATTTAAATGATATTAAGTCATTACCATCAGCTCTTGCTGTGGATCTGGGGACATTTCAAGTCTCCTCCACTGTATGAACCTGAAATATTTAATGAATTTCAGATTAAAAATATTCAAATTGGCTTTATATTACTTCATTTTTCATATAAGGAACACTAAAATCCTTCACTGCTTATTAGCCTTCACATATCACAGATTTCTTGCTAGGCAGTAATATTGGAGAATTTCATCATGATGGACTGTTTTAATCCATCAGCTCGAGAAATCCAGCCAGTTACTTAGTTGTTTTAAATAAACAGGAACTAGGAAAAAAGTTTCCAAAGGTCTGTATTTCAATCCAGTCACCTCTCTTTCTTGATCTGCAAGCAGTTCTACGTCAACTTTTCAAGTGTCTCCATAAAACAGGTTCTAAATCTTAAAAGGTTGTTACCACAGTCCTTGTTCTTCCTGAAGACCTGGTAAGGCAACTTAAACTTATAATTTTTTATAGGCAAGGTAATATGCTGTATACAAGAAGTTTCCAGAGTTTTTGCAAAAGGAGGCCTGAGGAAACGACTCTGATATGGTAGCCAGCCTCCTTCCTCCTATGAGCAATATACCCAGATCTTCACGCAATTGGTATATGAGCAACCTCTGTCCCCTAGACAGAGGTTCAGATGGCACAAAAGCCCGTGTACAAGCATGGTATATAGACATAGTACTTTTTTATCAGTTCAGCATTTAGCAAATTGAACGGAAATGAGATTTTGCTTTTTTTTTTTTAAACTGGCTTGATTTTATGAAATAGGAGCTTAAAATAGCCATTGAATAACCATTATTCAAAATTAAACCTTAGGATGCAATTGGAACTGTACTGAATGAAAACAAGATCTCACCAATTTGCTTGGGCTGTACATAGTAGTCCTTGCCACAGGCAAAAAGTTGTTAAATGTAGTTTGGATGTGCCAAAATACCCTATCATTTAGAGAGTTTCTCTATTCATTGCTAGTGATTGATAACTAATGGTTAAGATGCTCATAAATAAGGTTGATATTTTTTTCTTAGGATGCTGCAGCTACATGCCACGAGTCTTGATAATTCATTATCAATTGCTTTATGTACTTGGCTATCCCATGCAGAACAGTCTCTTATTGATGCTCTTTTGCCTGTTTCTTGTCTCCATCAGTTTTCAGTGTTTGTCAATATAAAGGGTCATGCAGGACAGTTGATCATGTAAATCCCAGTTGACCACCACACTGTTAGTGTCTATTAATCTATCTGTGGCTTTTCAGTTTTATTATTTTTCTTCCTGTTTCATATTTACCCCAACAAAATCAGGCAAGGCAAATTCAGTTATTCTGATGGATAAAAGAATATGAAATAGTAGTTCCATTTGGTTTTAGAGAGGAAATGATAAACCTGAAGTTAGCATCTCTTCTAGAGTATAGCAGAGACAGGAATTGCAAATGTTTAAAGAATTTTTATCTTCTTTCAAACATCTTTATGTGGGGAAAAAAATAGTGAACTCTTACCCTCATGTTTCTTCTTTTTTTTTTTGCAGTTAGGCTCTTGCCAAAATAACAAGAGGCAAGCAAAACATATATCAACTGCATGTTAGACTCCAACTAAAAGAGGTGAATTGACCTCAGCTGTGCTACTTTACAACTTGCAGTCTATTTAGTATTTAACTCCATTGCTGTACATCTGGTACTTAATGATACAGCATCTGTTGCAATACTCCTGATTCATTTGGTATGGCTGCAATTGGACTACTGGGAAGATGGATGTTAATTATTTCATGCAAGTATTTTACTTCGATCTGCTTCCACTGGGCTTCTAGGAAAACTTGCATTGGCAATGTTACTCAGTAGCTGGGTGGTAAAGATGTGCCAGCAAACCTTGTTCAAAATTTAATTGGGTGTGTTAACAGCGGGCACCATTATAACTCTCCTCAGTGAGAGGATGCTTTGTGGATTATCAGGTACATTAATTATCAAAATTCCCTGCCAAGCTAACTTCTGGTGAACTCCCATGTTCCTCCCAGGGTGCAAATGAAGACAAGGAAGCCTGAGACATTTTCTCAGGATCATGTAAAATAGTATCAAAGTTATTCTGAAAAAAACTTTTATAAAAAAGTGTGTAATCTGATGCCAGTGGGACTGATTCCAGGCATGGTCCTGAGCCAAGCTGAAGGTGAGCAGAGCAGGAGGAGGTGTCACAGCTGTGCACAGGCAGCCCTTACAACCCTTGACTGCAGGACCAACCGCAGGGCACTCTCCCTGTAGAAAGACATCAGTTTTAATCAGATCTTGTTTTATTAGCACTGATTCAGGAAGTGCGTTTTAATGGAGGGCTTAGGTTAGGATTTCATTTTCACATAGAAATCATGCAAACAAGTTTAGCATACTTGGTTGAATGTTATCTGTGTTCAGAGAAGGGCAATGAAGCTGGTGAAGGGTGTGGAGCACAAGTCTTATGAAGAGCAGCTGAGGGAGCTGGTGTTGTTTAGGCTGGAGAAAAGGAGGCTCAGGGGTGACCTTATCACTCTCTACAACAACCTGAAAGGAGGTTGTAGCCAGGTGGGGGTCGCTCTCTTCTCCCTGGTAACAAGTGACAGGACGAGAGGACCTAGTCTTAAGCTGTGCCAGGGGAGGCTTAGGTTGGATATTAGGAAGAATTTCTTCATAGAAAGGATGATAGACATTGGAATGAGCTCCCCAGGGAGGTGGTGGAGTCACCGTCCATGGAGATGTTTAAGGAAAAACTAGACATAGCACTTAGTGCCATGGTCTAGTTGACATGGTGGTGACCGGTCATAGATTCTGTGATCCTATTAAAAACCCACTATCTTACGTGGTTTTAGCTCTGCTAGCAGACTTAGAACGTAACGTATGTTACGCATACCCGTACGCGTTATCCCTCTACCAGCAGCGGTAAATGAGCAGTTCCTGAGCAGGAGCTTCTCCCGAGGCAGAAGGGGGGGCGCGGTCGGGGCCGAGTTCCCACAGCCCGCCCGGCCGAGCCGCCGCTCCCCGGGGTCACGCGCGGCCGCGGCGCAGGCGCGGGGGGCGGGGCGGGTGAGTCAGCGGCGGCCGCGGGGGGTCCCGCCCGCCCCGGCCCCGCGGTTCTCCCGCACATCCGGGTTCGCGGCGCCGCCCACCGCCGGCCTCCGGCTACCACCGCCGCCCGGGGCCAGCGGGGCTCCGCCGCCGCCGCGCCGGCCTTGTCCCATGCGCATCGTCGCCCGCCCGCCGGCCGCTGCCGAGCGGCCGCCGCCATGATGCCAGCCCTGGCCGCCCAGCGGCGGGGCTGCCGCGGCCTCTACCGCCTGTACCTGCGGTGCCAGGCGGCGCCGCGGCCCCGCACCTGCCACGGTGAGTCCCGCTGGGAGCCCCCGGCCCGCCGCACCGCCCCGACCGGGGCTCGCAGGGAGCTGTGATGGAGCTGCGCTCTCGCCTGGGGCACAGCGAGTGCCGGCATTCCTCCCGAGGCAGCGGCGCTGGCCGGGAGCGCTGGCTGCGTTCTGCTAATCGGCTTTAAAAAGAAGGAAAAACGTTCAAAATTTTGGACAACAGGAAGGAAAACGCCTAGGTTTTTGTTGCTAGCGCAGGGCCGGGCCCCGAGTGTCCTCGGCCGGGTCGTGGCAGCCCCGTCTGACGCAAGGCGGGCGCGTCATGCCTGTGTTGGGGCTGAAGTTTGCAGGAATTACATAAAATGAAGCGCAGCCTGACAGGGTTTGTGTTGGTATGTGACGCGAGTCCCGGCTTTTCCTTTAGACTACAGACCTCATGACATTTGAATTCTCACCAGTTTTGTCCCCCTAATTGTAGCCACTGACTGCTGAATTGCAGCAAATACCCGTTAACGGTTTCATGTGTGTGTATGAGTAAGAAAAATGTCCTCTAAACGTGCTGATGAAGTTTACCCTTTTCAACTGCTGCAGTAACACCAAAGCTTAGGAAACAACACTGCTCATCTTGTGCCATATATTTATTGTGGTGCTTTATAAGTTTGTAACCAGTAAGCTGATTCATTGAGCTGTTTTGAGTTGAGTATTCAGGGCTTTTGTCCCATTTGTGTCAACTGTTAGTCAGTAAGAGCTTATCTGCCCTTTTTGGTGAAATTGTTCCTTCAGTAAGCGTCAGGTCAGTGCATGCACACATGCAAGTGCCTTGGTACTGCAGAAGGCTAAAAAAACCCGAAAGCTATTGAGACTTTTACAGAATAAACACTTCTATAAAATATTACCTTTTTTGTGAGCAGTGTGTTATTCATATATGAGAGGTCATACTTTACATGACTTGATTTACCAGCACTGCTTGATTATTTAAAAAAAATTATTCTTTTGGTGAGTGCAGCCAGTTTCCCTGCTGCATTTCTAGTTGGAGGGACTATATGCCCTCTCTACAGGAGTGTTTGTGTTCCCTAAAAGAAACTGGTTGCTGATACAGGTTGGTCTGTACTGCATGCAACTCTACTTTTGGCTAATCTTTTGAAATGGAAGATTGCCTACCTAGGGTGATTTTCAATGGGCTTTTAGAAAGTGTTTTATACAATATTGTGTGCTTTTCTACATAGTTTCTGTAGCAAGTGCGTAATGCACACAGTTCAGTTTTTCTGAATTGGTAAGCTGTTGTTTGTACCGAGGTTTGTACGAAATAGCAGCATTAGCTAACAGTTTTGTAGTGATCTGTATTTGTTCTTTTATCAATACTTGGTTTTTAAAGATTTTGAGACAGTATGACTATAATGTGACTTAAATGTATCAGTAAGCCAATCTTGTCAGATAGCTTTGTTGTGTTTTTTTTTTTGTTTGGTTTGGTTTGAGTTTTTTTTGTTTTGGTTTTTTTTTTTTTAAACATCCTTAGATCATCCAGAGGTCTTGGGAAAAATCCATATCCATACTGGATTGTATGGGTAAAAATCCCTAATGTTAGAATGAAATTTAAAAGTGGATGTTTGAAGAGAGGCAGTGAAAGCATGGTATATACTCCAATTTTGCTTTTCCTTCTTTTTCCTTCTAAAATGGTTGTCTGAAACAGCTTTTTTTCCTCCCCTTGTTAGGATGGAAAGCTTCAATGAAAAGCGGGAGCCTGTCTTATATTCTGCCATACAATCGCCTGCCCATGCAGTTGATGAGTCAAGTGAGAGTTTACACATCCAATGGTCAGAAAAAAGATCTTGGATCAGAAGATACAAATAGGTCAGCCCGTGAAGAAACACTAAATAAGGCTGAAACAGGTAGTACTGAGCTAAAATAAAGTGTATTTATAAAAATGTAAAAACTTAATGTCCTTAGTGATAACTTTTTCTTTCAATTGTGTGATATTATTGTTGCAGATTTCTTAGTATTTGTTGATTGTGGGTGTTTATATATGAATTTCAAATGCATAAGCAGGGAGGAATGCTGAAATTTATTTCTTTGGCATTCTGGTATTTACAGGATTTAAGTTTAGAGGAATCAAATTTAAAGTGGCCAGGATAAAATGTGGATGTTGAAAGGCTTACATAACTTAAGGGATAAGAAATGGAATGTGTTACTCATCTTTCACCACTTTGCTTGCACATTTGAATTTTTTTGGTAGTATTTCAGGTATGTTGTGTGAAATGAACTAATGATAGAGATTGAATGAGTGTGACTGTTGAGCATTGTGACTTCTCCAGGCCAGGCTATAAATGACTGGTAAAGAAGGTTGAGCTGATTCATCTGCTAGAGCTTTCTAATCTGGCACTTGTTAGAACTTCAGTGTTCACATTAAACATTTGATACATCGTACATAACCTGGCCCTCCTTGCTGTTCAGTTCAGTTGTCAATCTTGTACTTGATAGGTGCTTGTGAAATTCAGAGCTGTATTGTCCTTGCTCCATCATAGCATCCTCTATTTTTGATGCTTATTAACTGTAGGACTGCACAGATACAGGCTTGGAAGACTACAGTGCTTAAGAGATAACAGATGCTTTTTAAAATGAGAGCTGTCTTTCTTTGTGCTTTTGTCTTCAACCAAGTGGTCTTCTAAAGAAAATTTCCTTCTCTTCATTGTCAGGGTAGCAGATATTCCTTCCTTCTTTAGTAACTTGTAAATTCCTGAGGCTTGCAACAGTCTTTAAAAGCTAGTAACTGTAGCCAACTAAGAGTATTACATTTCTCATGTTTGGAAGTACAAAAGTGAATCTTAAATGTTGTTCAGTTTTGAAGGTTCTATCATATCAATCTCTACTTGTCTGAAAAACAGTGACTGTGAATTGAAGTATTCCATATCTTTTTTTCTCAGTGATGCACTATGATTTTGTTTAGTCTATAAGCTGAGGTAGTAGTCTTCAAAAGGGGACTTGATGTACATAGATATCTGTGCGTGGATATAAATCTTAATATTTTTGTGCCTTTTTTTCCCTGCTCTGAAATCTTGTGACCCGATCTTTTGTTAAACAGTGTTTGTGATACAAATGGTTGTACACATTTTTTTGAAAAGACGATGCCATTCAGTTTTTCCTAAGCAGTCTTAGTGGAAACTTTTTTTCATGCATCAGCTGTCTGGTGTTTTAAACCAGGTAAGAAAAGAAAGTAAAGGAACAACAAAGGGAGTTTTTTCTTTTGTTTTCAAGTCAAACAGTAACCAATAGGGATGACTGTTTAAAGAATGCTATTTATTTATGGTGCAGCCTTATTTGTTGTATAACAAGATCAGCTGCATGAATTTATATGTGTTATTTTTCCAAGAAAGTATATTTGAATTGTTATTAGGTGTAGTCCTCAGTTGCTGTTGGGGCATTAACTAATTGCCTGATGGAAAGATTGTTATGTAGTCCAACCTTCAAGAATATCTGATCTTTAAGTGGTTTGAGTAGCATGTTAAGCTAGGAGTATCACATTAATTAACACTAACCTGCTTGAAAAATCTTTATTTTTTTAATATATCACTTTCAATGATGTAATTTTTAATTTTGTTAATGATTATGGATGTGTGGCAAACCTCCGGTGTTAGAGAGCAGTAGGGCACAAAAGAGTGGATATGTTGGTTTGATGTGTTAGAATTATAAGAATTTTGTAGCTGTGTCAAGATATATGAGACAAGGATGCAATATTTGTTTGTGTTTTCAAGTAGTACTTCTGGTTTCTAAATAGAAATCTCACTGAAATTACTGGATTTTATAACTTTCCAAATATTAAGATTAAATTATTCACTGTAAATTATATTTTATTGGGTTTTTTTTGATGGAATCATATCTTCAAGTTTCAAGACCAGCTAAAATACTTTTTCATTCTAGCTCCATCTTGTTACATAGAAGTTGTGGATTTTAGTTTAAATATTCTGTATTTTAAGGAGCTTACTTTTTGTAAATGAAGAAGCTTCAGTCCCTTAAAATTGAATCACAGCTTGAAAGCTTTGAGACGCTCTGATATACAGCAGCCATAAGCTATAAAAACTTGTCCCGAACTATAAGTACACTGTTAAAATATTTGTTTTGAATTCAGGATACTTTCTGAAGTATGTTGGAAGTTGGTGCTCTTCTTCAAGCTGCTAGGAGTCTATTAATCAATGCTGTATTAAATGTCTAATTTTTATTTTTTTTTTTTACTGTTTCTGTTTTTTGTGAGTTTTAAATGTTGGAAATCTACCAAATATATTTTTAATGGTCAGGGTGAAAAGCAATATTAAGATATATTCTTATTTTGTTATACCAACCAAAGTCTTTACTTCCATATTTACAGTGATCTTTACTTTTATTTTACAGGACAAGATACAACCAATGCAGGTCAAAAGCAGTCTTCACCTAAACAGCCAATTCAAGTAAAAGGTAAAGAAATGTTTACTGCATTGAAGCTTTGCTGCTGTTTACTAGTAATCAAAAAAGGCGTGTAGGGAAACTGTGGTTCCTTTTCAATTGTGTAAAGAAGTTATGTGAATAACATTTTTAAATGACTTTTGTATGTCAGGTTTGTTTGATACCCATTTGTTTAAAAATGGTTCCTGAAAAATCAAATATAGAAGTATTCCTTCTAATTACTCACTCTTCTGTTTGTTTTTGTTTCAT